CAACTGGGCATCAGCACCCCTGCCCCCCCAGGCACAAAGAGGTAGGAGTCTGGAACCCCTCCCGCTGGGCTCAGTCTGCACTGGACATCCATGCCTCTGCTTGCCAGCTCAGTTGGAGCTGGGGGACTGCCCCTGCCCACTGGGCTAGGTCCACAACAAGCAAGCCTCTGCTTGCTGGCTCATTTGAAGCTAGGGATCCTTATCTTCACCCACTGGACTCAGTCCACATTGGCATCTGCATCTCTGCTGTCAGCTCAGTTGGAGCTGGAGGACCATGTCCCATCTGCCAAGTTAAGTCCACATGGGGTGACCACTCCCCTACTTGTGGGCACCAACAGAGCCAGGATTCTGGACCCCCTCCTGCTAGACACAGCCAGAACTGAGGATCAACACCACCACTGGCTGAGGAAAGTCATAACCAGGGACTGCTCCTCCTGCTGCTGCTTGTCCCTTTCTTTTTTTTTTTTTAAATACGGAATGCTTCACGAATTTGCGTGTCATCCTTGCGCAGGGGCCATGCTAATCTTCTCTGTATTGTTCCAATTTTAGTATATGTGCTGCCGAAGCAAGCACGCTTGTCCCTTTCTTTCCATGCCCTCCTTCTTCCCCGTGAGACAGATTCTGTGTTGATGTTCAGCGGTCCACACTATGTCCAGACCTCTTAAGAAAAGACCACTCTGGGCTCTGCAGGAGACAGAACTTTAGACTGCATGTGAGGGAGAAGGGTGGACTAAGAGTTCGGAATTGCGGGGAGAACATTTGTTCAATTTTATGCCAGGTGGGGTGGTGTCTAGGTTCACCAGTGGGGCCTCCCTGGAGAAGAAGACCCGGTATTCAGGTAAAACAAGAGGTCTTTTGTCCCCTGCTCACTTGCAGAAAGCCCTCTGCAAGCCTCCCACTTGGGAGAGGGTAATTGTTTTCTTGAATGATCTTTGTTGTAGTCACAGCTTGACAAACTTCATTCTTGGCTCAGCTCCCCACCTTTGGTTTCATAGAGTCTGTTTCTGTCCATTTTTTTCTCCCTCTGGTGAGGACCCTCTGCCGAGCATTTCTACTAGTCAGCCATCTTCCCATAATCCTCTACATGAATTTTTCTATGGATAATTTTTATTATTTACTTAATTCCCATAAAGATAAAATGAACAATCAGTATGCCTTTATGGGATAATATTAATTGCTTATGTTTAGAATTTATGAATGTAATAATAAAAATTAAAATTAAAAAGGACAGAATTATAAAGTACTATGCATGTTTCTCTGTTGGAATATATGTGAACTTTTTTTGATAGTCATGATTGCTATTCAAAGGTTTTCATTCATGTTTTCTTGTTATTATGCCTTGTATTTATCATATTCAGATTAAAGGACATTCCAAATGGAGGAGTATCAGTTGTAGATTTCTTCACAGCTTTATAAATGATCTCTTTTATGCTGCTTTTGCTATGTGTATATGTCTCTGTGTGTGTGTTTTTCCTATCAGTATATCAACATCTTGTCTTGAGATCATTTTCCCAGATTTATAATCACATGTCCTTTGTGATTATGTAAAAAGAGAAAAACCTATTGGTGAGAAAACTTATTGTGATAAATATGGTGGTTGTATATATTAGGAATTCTGATTTTTGTTTTCTTCTAAGTAAATTCGAGAGTCATTCAGCAAACTTTAATTCATGTGTTTAGCTCTCATGGAATATCATAACTAATATAGTTGTTTGAACAGTTTTTTACTTGATATGTAATGTTCTTATTTGCTATAAGGTTTTGGCTTAATTTTCCAAGATCCATTTTAGGAAAGGTTAAATGGAAAAAATATAAACATTGCAAGCCACACATTTAATGGGTGATACATAAATTGGGACACTGACAGCAAAGTAAAGGTTGTACATAAGCACAAGAGTTTACTAATCATTTCACTGAAGAATTTATTAATTTTATAGATTAAAAATAGTTCATTAGTCAGTAATTGTTTAAAATGCCACCTCAAATTACAGAGTATGAATAATTAAAGGAGAAAAATACAGGGTGTTTTTTGGATTTCAAGACATCAGAATACATCCTCTTCTATTTTGGGATCTCATTAGTTCCTTCCCAAATGTATTGTAAGAACTGTCAGAGAGGTGAATAAAAAACCCAGTAGAAGTCAGTTAAATGACTGATTCAATGTGTTTTAATAAATACAAAGACAAAATCTGTATCCTATAATACTTTGTGAACACTATTCTCACAGATGACTTAATATCTAACTATTCAGTAACTGGGAAACAGCTATTTTCACTGCAGTATTCTTTTTTTTTTTTTTTTTTTTTGAGACCGAGCCTCAAGCTATCCCCCTGGGTAGAGTGCCATGGCATCACGCTCACAGCAACCTCCAGCTCCTGGGCTCAAGCGAGTCTCCTGCCTCAGCCTCCCAAGTAGCTGGGACTACAGGCGCCCGCCACAACGCCTGGCCATTTTTTTGGTTGCAGCCATCATTGTTGTTTGGCGGGCCCCGGCTAGGGATTTGAACCCGCCACCTTAGGTGTATGTGGCTGGCGCCTTAGCCGCTTGAGCCACAGGCGCCGAGCCTTCACTGCAGTATACTTGTGGAAATTACTCACCTTAAGTTAGGGATAGATTTGCTGTAGCTAGAGCATTTAAGCTTTTCACTCCAATTTGTGACTCTCTCACAACTGGATTACAGGTCCCTTTGCTTTTCATCATTAATGTGTGACCAGTTGGTTCCTTCTCACAGTTGTTATGATTAACTTTGACAGCTTTCTCTATCCAGTAAAAATTAATGTTGGAAATATTCCTCAAAAATTTATTTATCAGGCATTTTAATATGTATCAGATTGTGCTCTTTGTCCTGGCAGCACAATACACATCTACTGGGAGGATAGTGGGGATGGATAGACAAATGAATATAGTAGTAAAACATATGTGATGAGTTTTGTGGAAGCATAAGCACAGGATGTGCTAGGAGTACACAATAGCACCAACCTATTCCAATTCTGGTAGAAGGAGAGAGAGAAAGAATAACGGCAGACTCAGAGAAGCCTTTCCATAGAGATGACTCTAGAGGTAATGGATATCTAGTCCTGGAATTGGCGTACTCTATGCAGTGCAGATGCATATGAAAGTATGCTATGCAATGGAAATATTTCCAAGGTAGCACTCAGTATTCTTCCCCTCCACACTCCCCCTTGCCTTTTCTTTCCGCCCTCCTTTTTTCTTTTCTTCTGTTTCTCCTTCTCTTCTTCATTATGAACTTCATATACACTGAAATTTATAAAACCAGTTCTTGCTTCATGGTCTACCACATCATTGGACTCTTCTGGGCCCTCATTAAGTCAGGCATTCATTCATTTATGATATTACAACTAAGCATTGGAAACATTAACAGTCATTTAACACCTACTCCTTTGCTTCTCTTTTTTCATCCCTTCACCCTTCCTAAAAGCTAACCACTATCCTGAATGGGGTGTATTATCACCTTTCTCATTGGGTTGCTTTTGTATATAATGTAGCTAAACAATACATTCCTTAACTTATTTTTTTAACTCAATAATAATGAAATTCTGCTGTGATTTTATTCCACTAAGCATTATATTTTATGGTCCATTATGTTTTTATTTGTAACTGAAATAACTCAGTTTCACTCCAGTTAATATTCCATTTTGTAAATAAGCTCAAGCTGTCCATTCTCATTTTTTTATTATTATTAAATCATAGCTGTGTACATTAATATAGTCATGGGGTATAGTGTGCTGTTTTTATATAGAATTTGAAAAATTTTCATCAAACTGGTTAACATAGCCTTCATGTCATTTTCTTAGTTATTGTGTTACGACATTTATATTCTACATTTAGAGAGATTCACATGTACCCTTATAGGATGAACCATAGGTGTGATCTCACCAATCACCCTCCCTCCACCGATCCTCCCCCCTCCACTCCCCTCCCTCTCCTCTTTTCCCATATTCTTGGGCTATAATTGGGCTATAATTTCATAGCAGGACTGAGTACATTGGATACTTTTTCTTCCATTCTTGAGATACTTTGCTAAGAAGAATATTTTATAGCTCCATCCATGTCAACAAATTTTCATGTTGATGGGCACTTGAATTGTTTCCATTTATTTTGCTATAGACCACTGTTTTTCAACCTTTTTTTAATCTCACAGAACACTTTAACCTATATTTAGTTAAACTTCCATGGCACACTTAAATTATGTTGATCAAAAAAATGACTAATAAAAAAGAATTTACTTACTGTGCTTTGAAAAATTCTTTTGAAAATAATTCAATTAATGATCTTTAAAAATTTTGTGGCACCCATAAGATAATCTCATGATACACCTGTGTGCTGCCACACACTAGTTGAAAATCACTACTATTAACAGAGGTGCTATCAACATCCTCTCCCAATCTAAGACAAGTGAATTTCTGTAGAGTATAATCCTGGGAATGGAAATATTGGGCCTTAAGGTACACAAAAGTGAAATTTAAAAAATGATACCAAATTATTCTTGAAAGTTGCTTTACCAATTTACACTCTCACCGGCAATGCATAAGAGCTTATATTGAACAACATTCTAACACTTGGTCTTACAAAACTAATTTCTGTTAATTACATGCTATGTAATGTGACTGCTAGCTAATAGTGTGTAGTTTTGATTTGCATTTCCCACGTTACTAATGAGATTTTTGTGCATCTTTTGGTATGTTTATTGGTCATATATGTCTTATCTAACCTTTCACTTATAAGATTTTATTAATCTATACTAATGAATACTTGCTATTTTTCTATTGGTAGGGATTGTTAACATTTTAATCGTAAAGATATATGTAGCCATTAAGAAGAAATAGACATATATTTTAGTAGTACATAAAATGGTGGGTGCATTTTTAATAAAGAACAGATGGTCAAAATAACTAACAAAACAGTAAAAAATAATTCTATTTTAAATTTCATTTTAATGACTTTTTTTTATAGCTTACTGTTTATTTTTCTTTTGACAGAACGGTTTCGAGATTTACTACTACCTCTACCTACTCAAGATGCTGAGATTCTACCCTTCATTCAATCTAGAAGTTATCCCAAGTAAGCAAAAGGAGTTCACTAGGAATTGAGAAGGCACTGGGCATAGAGGAAGAGAGATTTGGGTGGGCATAGATAAAATGTGATCTTTCTTAGGATTTCTGAAAATCTTGAATAATTTACCCTAACTAACTAGGGAATCTCCTGTAATATAATGTCACAGACTTTTCACAGCTGGGTCAGAGAAGAAAAACTTACTTTCAGTTGTAGCCCAGAGTACAGATAATAAACTGTCTGCATCAGTGTCTGGTTTTGCCTCTTTTTGCTTGGTACTCTATCAAAAGGAGCACATATTTTGTAGGTGATATTTCATCTGATCTTCTATTTTCTGTCCTTTCAAAGTGAAGATTCATTTATATTGTGAAAGTATTTTTCAAAATAACCACATGCTAGAAATGATTTTAATGATTTTATATATTCTTAACCATCTTGGTAACTGTGAAATCTTGTGGCTCCTTCTAAAATAGAAAAAAATTTTCTTAGCTTTCACAATTATAATTATTGGCTGAAGGAATATGCCTTTATCTTCCTGACAGATTAGGAAGTACCATGCTTCCTATAAACTTGATCTTCCCTGAAGGCTGATGGATGCTGGAATCTTGATCCTTCCTGTGGAATCTTGAGAAATCTTCTCTTGAGTATCTGAATCTATTTACTATACTAGCTAGTATGCAACAGGCTAAAGAATAAATAAACTTATAGCTGAAATAGGAAAGGAAGGTCACCAGCTTAAATAATTAGTGTTTAGTTTATACATATTTCATCAAAACTCATCAATGTGCTAAATTCTTTGCTTTGGGAGTTTATTCACCTATTCACTAAACTTTGCTTTCTGGGGAAATTATTTCATTCCTATTACTTACCTTTGATAAGCTTAATTCTGAGACCAAAAATAAACATAGAATCCTAATTACTCATATATTGCTTGTTCATTGTTTAAGATATTAATCCACATTTAATCTTTAGCAATAGTCTTATAATTCTCTCATCAGGCACACATGGACATACATATACATATACAGCCTTGCCTGCATACTTTATGCAGTATGCCTGCATACTACATGCTGACAGGAAGCATGTATGTCCCTGAAAAGACTAATGCATAATCATCACATCAGCATTTTTATCCATAGCTACTGTTTGCAGGAGCTGATGATGCCTGCATTCCTGCCTCTTATGCTTACTGTCAGCCAAACACCTAACAGCTTGTAGTCCCAGTAGTTTCTCAGATGGTTATCCATTGTCAGCTATAAGCATACATTCCAGATTTGTGGGTTCAGTTTTAGACCACTGCAGCAAAGCGAGTCACACAAACTTTTTGGGTTTTCAGTCCTTATCAAAGTTGTTTACACTATATTGCCATCTGTTTCATGTACAGTAGCATATGTAAAAAATAATGCACATGCCTTTATGAAAAATTATTATTTTTTTTGAAACAGAATCTCACTGGGGTTCGGTGCCATGGCATCATAGCTCACAGCAACCTCAAAACACTTGGGCTGAAGTGATCTTCTTGTCTCAGCCTCCCAAGTACCTGGGACTACAGATACCCACCACAATGCCTGGCTATTTTTCTATTAAATAAAAATTTTCTATTTCTAGTAGAGACAGGGTCTCACTTTGCTTAGGCTGGTCTTGAATTCCTGAGCTCAGACAATCCATGAGCCTCCCAGAGTGCTAGGATTACAGGCTTGAGCATGATGCCCAGCTTTAAAAGTTACTTTGTTAGTCTAGAATAGTAGCAACTATCCAAGCCTTCAGCAAGTCATAAACTTTTTGCTGGGGGAGGATCTTACATGAATGTTGGTGGCAGCTGACTGACTGATCAGGGTAGTGGTTGCTGAAGGTTGAGGTAGTTTTGGCAATTTCTTAAAATATGACAGCACTAAAATTACACACTGATTAACACTTTCTTTCACAAAAGATTTCTCTGTAGCATCAATAATATTATTTCTGAATTAGAGCCAACCCTCTAAAATCCTGCCCCTGCTTTATCAGTTAAGTTTATGTAATGCACTAAATCCTGTTGTCATTTTAACAATATTCAGAGCATCTTCATCAAGAGTACAGTCCATTTCAATACATCACTTTCTTTGATCATTTATAAAAAGGAACTCTTTAACCATTGTAGGATTATAACAATTAAATCCTATCTTCAGTCTCCCCTTCTACTTTCACCACATTTTCAGGAGAGGACGACAGACGGGTGAATGGCTGATCAGGGAGCAGTCAGATCATATACAAAGTTTATAGATTAAGTTCTCTTACATGGACAAGGTTCATGGAGCCCCAAAACGATTACAATAATCAAAAGTCGCAGCTCATAGCTCACCATAACAGATATAATGAAAAAATTAGAAATATTGTGAGAATTACCAAAATATGATGCAGAGATAAAAGGTGAGCAAGTGCTATTGGAAAAATGGCACCAAAAGACATGCTTGATCCAGGGATGCCACAAACCTCCAATTTGTAAAAAACACAATATCTAGGAGCAGGATGTCAGACTAGAGACATCTTATCAGGTATTTGTGGTGAGACAAGTGAGAGAGGACTCTAGCCACCTCTGCCTGGGGGATCCTGCCCAGACATATCACTCTGGGGGTACAGTAAAGTAATAGGGGACTCCAGGAGCCAATGAGGAGGTCAGGAGCTAAGGAAGACCAGCACAGAAGGCAAGCAACTGGGAACAGGCAGAGGCTGGCTGGCACTCCAGTGAAAGACTAGGGACAGGAAAGGGCTTTTTGTTCTTGGACTGTGCTGCTTCTGGAGCTTCATTGGAAGGGCTTAAGCAAACAAGTAAACTTGAACAGTGTCTGGCAGCCAGGATTGAATCACCAGGTGGGGTGGAAATCCCATCTGCTTGGCTAATAGCAGGATGCCACCATTATGGGGGGAGGGTGGCCTGGGAGGAGCAATCCTTAGGGTCCTAGTGTACGGCTGGTGCTGGAACTCCTGTTGAGCTTGGGCAGCCATCTTGAAGTGAGTTGAATGGCTCTCACATCCTTGGGAAAGCCATTTTGTTGTCAGGAGGCACTGATTGGAAGGTCAAAATGTGTCTCCTAAGAAATCTGACAAGAGCTTAAGAAACAATTTAACACTGTTGGTGGGACTTCAAACTGCTACAACCTCTATGAAAGAAGTATGGAGGATCCTCAAAGAGTCAAATTGGACCTCTCATTTGATCCTGAAATCCCAGTACTAGGCATCTATTTAGAAGAAAAAAATCATTCTATTATAAGGACATTTGCAGTAGATTATTTATTGCAGCTTAATTTACAAGCACCAAGATGTGATAAAAACCTAAATGCCCATCATCCCAGGAGAGGATTAACAAACTGCAGTGTATGTATACCATGGAATGTTAGTCAGACACTAAAAAAGATGTTTTGTATTAACCTGGATGGAGCTGAAACTTATTCTTTTTAATAAGAATGGAAAAGCAAGTCTCCAAAATACTGGATACTAATATGAAGCCAGTAGATGATCTAATACACACCCAAACAAGAGAAAAACTCAATTCAATTCAAGTTAGGGGAGGGGAAAGGAAAGAGGGTGTACAGGGGAGGTGGAAAGGGGATTGGTGTGCTCCCACTTAATGGGCACAGTGTAAGGGTATATGGCACACATCACAATAAAATGAAGAGTGGCTGTATTTCCATAGCTGTCTTAACTGTACTATTTTACATTCATCCTCCCTTTCTTAGTTCACTTTTCTGATAGTGGCCTAGTCAGCTTAGGCTGCTATAATAAAAATTGCCATAGATTGGGTGATTTAAACAATAGATATGAGTTTCTCACAGAACTGGAAAGTTCAAGATCAAAGCTTTTCAGAGTACGTGACTAGTAAAGGCATTCTTCTTGGTTTCCAAACAATCGTGTTTTCATTGTATCCTCACATAGCAGAAAAGAGAGAGAGAAAGCCAGCTCTCTTGTGTGTCTTGCTAAAAGGGCATTAGTCTCATCAAGAGTGCTCCACCATTATGGCCCAATTGCCTTCCAAATGCTCTATTTCTAAATACCATCACACTGGGGATTAGGGCTTCAGCATAGGCAGTTGATCTCATTTATTCAGTATTGTAGATAACTGTAATTCATGAATTTATAATTTGTGGCAGAAAAATTCTGGAAAGTAGAAAATTTAATCAGACAAGTAGAATTGGTTTCTTTCATTTATAAACCAGTATATTTATTTATATTGAGATTTTTCTCTCTTTTCTGATTGTTTTCCTGACTCATTAAATATAGATTTTACTAGTGAGAAACATATTTTAAGACTGAAAATATAGGCTAAGAAGCAACTTGCTTGCCTGACATTATGTAGTGTCACAGAGAGGTATTTACAGAGCATAACTTAGGCAACTTAGACAGAAAATAACATTACCAATTATATACATTGGTTAATGTGGGCTATGGTAATTTGAATTTGGGATGAGGTCTTTATTAGTCAACAAAAGGTCCCTGAATGCATTAGCTCTTGTTATAAAGAGACATTTGCAATAATGAAACTTGGAAAGTGTGTCCTATTTTTAGGTGAAAAATATTCATGAAGAAAACTGAGTTTCTAAAATGTATGTGTGTTTTTGTGTATGTTTAAGGGAAAACCATGAAAAATTACCTTAAATGATCCTGAGAAACATTGTTGTAAAGTATAATAATATTCATTAAATCATACTACTGCATTATGAACATTAACTTAATCCATTTCCAAAGCTGGGGCATCCATTCTCATCAAAATGTAATTGTAGAATGAAAATTCTCAGAATGCAAATAGGTGTTCTGACAGCTGCCAGAAAGAGACAAATGAGTGGAAAGAAAAAAAGGAGTATAACTTCATAGAAAATATATGATGTTTATGGATAGTTTGGGGGAAACAAATAGAGATGAGAGAAGCAGGTTTTAATGCTCATTCCTTGCTGATGTTATTGTCATTAACTTGAAATATTTAGGTGTATAATGTATTTTGACTAGAAAGTTGTTATAATATATTCTTATCCTTGTGA